GTATGAGGGAAGCTTTGAGCAAATCGGTGGTTTGCAGAGAGATCTCCCCATCGGAACGGACTGCAACAATAATGGACTCCTGGCCCTGCCTTTGAGTGGGGCCCAGGGTGAGGGGCAAACACAGTCTTGAAGTGGGGGTTCAAGTCAGCATCTGGTATACTGCTTAAGCACCTCAGAGGGACTCAACTCAAAATGTAGAGACCTAAATGAAATGATAAACCCAACAACAAAAAAGTATTAGGTGCCCTCCACTCATCACATTGACTCTAGACAGGAGCAAAGCAAAATTTTTCCTTTGGATATATGGGGAAAAGATATATGTATATGTGTATGTGTCTGTATGTATATGTATATATATGTGTGTGTGTATGTGTGTGTATTAGGCACTATATAGAGTGTATGTTGATATAGTGATTGATATATTAACATTTATATATATAATATATATATATATATATATATATTATATATATAAAGGGTGTCGGAGGTTAGAAATTCATTCATTCCAACATTTCCACAAATACTCAGATCTGTGTTGCTTATAAGAAATCTTCAAAACAGTCTCCTAAAAGGTAAAAATGAGGCTGAACACACATAGGACATTTTGCTGAAAAGGAGACACCAACACAGTTATTTCTTTGCTGACCCCCCCACCACAGAGGGAAATCAATTCCTTTTGCTTTTTCTAGCCTGAGCCCATTCACCTCAGCACCTTATTCAAAGTCAACCACGGCATCACAAATTCCAATATCCATTAAATCAAACCTCAAATACCGGCCTGGGAAGTTTATATCACCCTCTAGGCTCAGTGGTGCTCTACAGTGAACTGTCTTAGAGCTTTAAAAAAAAAAAAAAAGTATCATTTTTAGTATAAACAAATGCTTCAAATGTATGACATCTATTTGCTGCCTTCAAAGGGAAAACTTTTAACTCAGACACTTGGCACTAAGATCACACGGGATCAACTCCGTGGACTGACTTAAGTGTTAAACTTTTTTCAAGTACGTTAAGGGCTTGCACCTGCTCCCCCATCCACATAGATGTACTGACACGTATTTGACTAAACTGACTGCTTGCATGCCCAAGCAAGCAAGCAGAGCAGATTTTACAAGATAAGCAACCAAGTGTTTTCATGTCTGAGGGTGGCTAGAACACAAAATTGCCAGTCATCTTGTGGGAGAAAAGAACGCCTTTGAAAAAAGTATGTAGAACATCATTTCAGATATGGTGACATGTATTCAAATACCATCCTGTATACAGGTTTTGTTGTTTTGTTTTTCCCCTTAAGTACTCCTTCTCAGAGAGGGGCCTAAACTCAGTCCAACTTTCTGCTGTTGTGATTGAGAAGATAATTATCAGAACCTTGCTACTCATAGTGTAGTCTGTGGGCCAGAGGTAACATTTCACCTGGGAGCGTCTCAGAAATGCAGACTCTCAGGCCCCACCTCAGATTCATTGAAACAGAGCCTATGTTAGAGCATGATCTCAAGGGGTCTATATATACTTTGGTCTGCATTCCCCTGAGGTAATACTGGTGACTTGTATGACATTAAAATCTCAGATGTTTTATTTAGAGCACTGGTCCCCCAAGTTAGGTAGAAGTTCACTTTGAAATTTGCAGGGCAGGGAAATAGTAAAAAACAAGAGCAACAACAAAAAAACCAACTCTACCCTGGAGAATACTGTAAAGGCTGTAATTTGTGTCTATAAAGTAGAGAAAAAAGGAAAAGCATGTTACCCGAGTGAAGCAGACATGCATTTTATCCATCTCATCCTTCTTGCTCCCTAAAACAATAAAGCAGGGAAGGAATAAGGCAATATTGGTTCCTTGCAATTGCCCATCTGTATCATACTTATTCTACACTTCAATTATTTATTGCAAGGCTATGTTCCTTTTTGCCTTATAACAGACTGGGGGCTATGGCATCCAACATTCAGTGAATGAGTATCCTAACATTAAAGACTGCAGAAAAGAAACACACTTCAAAAAAGTGCTTTGAGTTGCACACATGGTTTTTCCACCTCCAATAAAAAATTAAGGGAAAAGATGTGGATTGTGAAGATTATCTAGTGATCATCTCGGCCTCCTGAGGTACAATTTAAAGCAGCAATTGGAGTAGGAATTATGAAAAGATGGAAGTACAAATAAATTTGTAAACTTTCGCCTTCCCCTTCCCCAATTTTGAAGGCAAACAATGAAAGGAGCAACCTGGACCTGCCATACAGGTTCGAACCATGCTAGGGAGAGCACACAGCCCAGACAAGCACAAAAACAGATGATATAATTTAATCACTTTCGAAGGGTGATCCTCCAAAATTCAGAAACTAATACATTTTCTTTAAAATTTCCTTTTTAATCTAAAGCCAACTCTAAAAGGATTCAAAGCTCCCTACAGAATGGCCACTAAAGATTCAGAAGATTCAGTGTCATGGAGTTAGGTAGGACACTTTTTCTCAGCATGGAGAACGTGAGCCTAAACACCTATAAGAAGGTGGAATGTATGTAAGGATATTCTGTTTCTCAAATGAGCTGCCAAGGTCAGAGTCCTCAACTATGACAAAACCTCTGAAACTAAACTGAAGCTGGAAATACCATCATGTACACATATGGAATATATATCATATCTCTTCGTGTTTTTATACATATTACCTGTGTATATATTTACATGTTTGTGTATATATAATTTATATACATATAAAACACCCACAAGAAGACATTTGAGTTGCTACCACTGAAAACCATTTTAACAAAGAAAATCAGAACCAATGAAGCAGAAAAATCAAAGGAACGTATTGAATTGCCAAATGGATGGAAATTCTTGTTGCTATAATCTCACAGTCTCATCTAGAATCTTTGGAGATGAGAAAACATGGGTTGTTATTTAAGATGTGAAGACAGTGCAATCTGTCCCCCACCTCCATGCCAGGTGAAGGTAAAGGGTGGCTAAGGGACAGAGATCATCCTGCCCTCCAAATCTGGTTCTAATACGAACTATGCAAGAGCAAAAGGGATAGGCATGAAAAGGAATGGAAAGATTTTTAAAGCAGGAGTAAAAGAACTAGTGTTAATTTAAAAACATGGTCTACCTACTCTCAAGGCAAGGGTTAAATATCACAATCAAAATGGAACTACATTCATGGTCATTGCAATTAATTCCTTGGGAGAATCTGATTATAACAGTCTGTTCCTTGACAAGCACACTCGTTTTTTTCAGCCAGTTCCAAGGCAAGGCAGGGAAGAGGAGAACTAGGCCTCACCAATCACAGCAGGATCAGAGGAGGCACAGAGTCCTAGACGTTGCCCAAAAACACTTCCAGTAAAATCATGGGGAGTTGTGGGTTCCCTGGCTGTAGAGACATACCCACCAAACCCTTCCTTGGGTCTGATTTCGACACAGAGCACAGAAGCCCTGCTGCTGCAGGAGTTCACTCTGAGTGGCCTAATTTGACTTCATTCTGCTTGGGCTTCTGTCCAATTGGCAGATATCCTCATAGAAGCTGATCTTAGACACTTTCCCTTTCTAATTGTTTGGCACCGTTGCCTCTGCTGCATGGGATATCATCTCTGAAACTTTATCTTGGGTTTCCCAGGTTTTGCTTGTTTGGGAGCTTCGGTTTGCTCTTAAATCTTTCTCCTAAATCACGAACCCCAAAGAGGGTCACGTGAAATACTAAATAGTGGCTAATTCCTTTGAGGCAAATATCAATTATCAAGTGACTTGCTTGCACGTTTCCAGCCATTCTGTGCCTTTCCCCCACCTCCCTCCAAAATGAGTAACTTCAGAAGCAAAAAGGCAAACACAAGGTAACATCACGAATGCCATACAAATGCACCATTTTCTCTTACAGGTTAGACTTTATAGAATGAAATGCCAGGGATCTGATATTTATTATCTGAACGAGGTTTAACATTTGGAGAAATGTGTTCACATAACCTTGGAAAGAAAAGCAAGATGATCCAACAGAGAAGAGGCAGTGGGCAGAAAACATGATGGGCACAATTTTGCTGTGTGTTGGGCAAAGTTAGAAAACTGGGTCCTTCTGAGCATAAAGAGCTCCCAGATGAGGTAACAGTTAAATACAAATCAATTTCCAACTCTTCGTGAGCGCCACCACATATCAATTTTAAATATACATGACCACAATATTCATAATGAAGAAATCTTATGTTTTATTTAATACTTTGGCCAGACCAACCCCTTTGAAGGGATCACTAGTTTAGGAAAGAAGAACAACAAACCATTATTCACTTTCCTGCAGGTTTATCATTTTCCTAATTATTTCTATTGGTCCTGCTTTATTCTTTCTGCAAGTTAAGGGGTAGGGGAGTGTTTCTTTATTAGATCAGCAATGTCTGGTTCTTATCCAAATATTCCACCTAATAAGGACGTAGGTTCTCATGGATTGGACAACCACTCTGCAACATTCCTGAGAATTGAATAATATAATAATCTTGAAAGTCAGCAGAGTGGATTATCCACTTTTTTTTTTTCTGGACTTGAACTTGTGACCTTAACAGTAGCACTGCAAAAAAGCAAATGTGCTAAGCACTTTGCCAGAGTAACCTTCCATGTAGACTTTTCATCTTAAATACACACAACTGAAAACAACTACAATTTTTGGAAAATTATGTACAAACCCAATACTTCTTTTGATTACATATAAATACAAATTAGCTATCTTTCCTAAAAAGTGGTTATAATAGTAAATAAATACAAAATAAATCTGACCATTATACTTCATGTGCTGGGGTTGAACCCATATAAAATGTACAACTAAATACATTTTAAAATCTTTAAGGAATAATTCTCTGATTAAAATATTTGTTTTCCCAACTTCTTTTTGTAGATATAAATATATTTTCAAAATAACTGTGTTTTTTTTTTCTCCATTCCATTCCATAAATAAAGTCTTCATTGGGAAATATTAAAGTGTCAACTTGGTTTTTTTTTTTTTTTTTTTTTTGCTTTTTTCTTAAAATATATGTGTGTGTGTGTGTGTGTGTGTGTATTTATTTCATTTTGCTGTGCTAACGACACCCACAACCCTCCACAACCATGTCCTGATAGTTCTTTAATACGACCTTTTCGTTTTCATCAAGGTACAACATGGAGATAGCACTGAGTTCCGTTGGTACACAGCACGCCTTGGGAATCTTAGAATTAACGGAGTTGACCAACGTCTGAACAATGGCGTGATTAGTGGAGTTCAGGTGATCTGCCAGCGGAAAAGGGCATTCCCCATGGCAATAAAAGGCGTGGTACCCCGGGGGGGGCTACAATCCAGTCATTCCACCCCACATCACTGAAGTCCACATACAAAGGGTGTCTCTTACAGCTGGACTTAAGGCGTTTGCGCTGTTTGTGTTTTGCTTGGCGCTTTTCTCTTTTGTGGAGGGGGTGTCCTTTCCCATCGTGGCCAAATGTTACTAGCAGTGGCCTGATCTGTGACCAGCTGTGCTCATCTTGGTGCAAAGACCTGCTAATCCTGACGTGTCTCTTGGAGACACCTTGGTTCTCCTCCAAGTGGGTCACTTCCACTACAAATCCGTGGTTGGTGAGCCCCTGTGCCGTCCACCTCATCACAGCAGGGGTGACATCAAAGCTCTCCCACCTGCTTGCGTTCTGATTCACCAACCTGGTGTCCAAAAGTCTGGTCACGGGGAACTTCAAGTTGGCTGCTGCAGGTTTTATAATCTCATAAATATTAATGCGGTGATGGAAACTGCTGTTGTTTTCCAAAGTTTCGTGCATCTGTTCCCGAAAAACCTGAAGTTCTGCTGAGGTGATAAACTCGTCAGTCGGGATAGAAGTTAAATTAAAGAAGAATCTCCGGGTTGTTTTCCCACTCATTTCTGGCAGTTCTTCCAAATATTCTAATTTGACATAAAAACAGGTAGAAAAAAATCATTCAGTAAAGTACATAATGACAATCTGATGATCTGTGAGAATTTGTAAGCCTGACTTCAGGGTTTGATTTAACCCATGTAAAAGTTTGCAACCAGAAAATAACTTCCGCTTTAGATAAAAAGGAAGGCTCCCTTTTCTGTACATCTATGTCAACATGCACACCATGAAGCAAAACTTCACAATTCATTTTTTTTCTCATTATGACGTTTTTAATCCAATACATGAATACTGCTTCCAGGTGGCTATAATAATGGGGGAAACATTGAAGCATTTCTTTGGAAGTCACAGACTTTAGGGCAAAAGCAAAAAAAAAAAAGTCAGCACTATAGTTAGTAGAGGTCTAATGAGTGAGGATTTGAGGAAATTATTGCATTTCTTAAAAAGAAAAAGGCTTTAATGTCAATCCCTTAAACGGTATTCTAAAACATTACTCTGCAATTTAGATGATTTACAAATCTCGATATACAGATTTCAGTTTCCTAATTAAAGAGTCTGAAACTCAACATCAACGATGACATTTTGCAAAGCACACCCTACTATTTTACTCCAAGTCCAGAGACAAAGGCATTTACAGGGATCGACTTCTTTGGAACCGTAAGGGTGGTAACTAAGACACCGTAGTAATTAAGGCCAGACAATTTCAAGAGAAGGAACTTCGTAACTGTTGTCTGTTCTCTCACCTCCTTATGACCTCAAAAACCCAATCTCATGGTTGATACTTTTGGAAGAAAACAATCTTTAATTCCTTTGTCCTTAAAAAAATAATAAACCTATTAAAAACATGCACCTACCAAATAGACACAAAAACCAAAAAAAAAAAAAATAGGAAAATTTATAAAAAATACCATCATAAGATTCAGGACATAAGGGATAATCTCATCCTACTACAGAATAAACATTCTATATCTAGTGTCACTTCAAAATAGCCAATTAAGTGAGCTATGCATAAAAGCTCTTGCTGATTTAAGATTCCTGAATTTAAATTTTAAGGAGTACTGCTTTCCAAGTAAACAATAAAATATAACAGCACCTTGCATGCTTTAGTCTGCAAATCATCAAAGGTACACATTATCATTAAATTGGCAGTAAACAGCAATAGAATTTGAGACATTTGGGTTTATTCTAGTTTTACCACATCCTGTCCTTTCATTGTCAAAAAACTTAACCTGCTTCATTCAGGATCCAACCTAAGTGCTAACAAAATCTGTTGACCATATTATTATCATAAATGGAAACTATATTGATCAATTTTATGGTTGTATTTCCCCTACATCAAGCAGCTGTAAGTTGTTCAGAAAATGTAGATATCTTAGCAAAGGAGAATCACATCAGATCACTCAACTCAAAGGTTCTACTTGTGTAAAACTTGTCAAAGCACCAGTCATCGCTGCAAGCTAAGTGGAAGGGCAGTTCAAGAAGGACAGTTTACACCAAATTATGGAGTAATGCTTTAAGGGGATGCTTCTCAAACTTCAATCTTCACACAAAACACCTAAGACACCTTAAGTCTTCAAATGCAGATTCTGATTCGGTGGGCCTGGGGTGGGACCTGAGAGGTGGGACCTGCATTTCTAGTAAGCTCCAAGGTGAGGCCAGTGCTAGGAGCTCATGGATTGCCCTTACAGGGCAAACCTTACAGGGTGAAGGTTTTAAAGGATGCTTTTCACATTGAAATGGTAAATTCCAGGAGCATATTTTAAAGTGATTCTTGGTCAAATAATACAAAAATGAGAAGAAACAGTAGTGTTGGCCAAGGAATAAGAGGTGAGTCCATGCGCGGGCAGCGGAAAGATCTTCCAAAGCTCATCTACTTGGGATGCGGAGACTATCAGGCCAAGAAGTAAACCCTCCATGGTCCCCTCATGTCTGCTAAGCTACACCTGTTGGGAATACTTTTTGGGAGCTATTCACACTCTAAGCTGATGGTACTTCAGGCCAGGCACTATTTTTATTTTTTGTTTAATTTTGTTTTATTTAAATTCAATTAATTAACATACAGTCTATTATTAGCTTCAGAGGTAGAGGTCAGTGATTCATCATTGCATACAACATGCAGTGCTCATTCCATCACGTGCCCTCCTTAATGCCCATCACCAGTAACCCCACCCCCACGACCTCCCCTCCAGCAACCCTCAGTTTGTTTCCTAGAGTTAAGAGTCTCTCATGGTTTGTCTCACTCTGATTTTGTCTTAATTTATTTTTTAAATAACTCTCTGACCAATCAGAGCGGGGCTCTCCTCGGTGGCTCCAACAAGTATCAAGGATTGTGTTCAGCTCCTTCTTTCCTTCCCTCCCTGTAATCCAGGGGCCCTCCTAATGTTTCCACTGAAGGTATTCTTTTAGCTGAGAAGCCAACAGATACCAAAGAAAAAAGGAGTGACATAAAAATCAGTGGTGTCCCCCAGATGTAATGACATAAAGCCAGATCTGGCTTGAACTACTGATTTCTCTGATACCATCACACCTAAGAACACTCTCTTTTATTTTAAAGAGGGGGGAAGAAAGGCCAATTATCCAGGGCCTTTGCTGAACAGTTGTATTAATAAGGTGCTTGGGTGGGGTTGGGGAGGGCATGGAATAAGGTACCCAGAGAAACCACAACCGCAACAAAAACTCTGATTCCAAATCCATAAATGAGAGAGAAGTTATGAACACATATAGACATGAGCACACACAGACACATACACAGCCAGAGGATAACAAAGGGACACTCGCCCATACCAGCATGAAACACAGGTAGAATGAGTAAAGATGGGTATAAAGGAGGTGTACAATAGAATAACCCTCCAGGGGTGCCTGGGTGGCTCAGTGGGTTAAAGCCTCTGCCTTTGGCTCATCATCCCAGAGTCCTGGGATCGAGTCCTGCATCGGGCTCTCTGCTCAGCGGGGAGCCTGCTTCCTTCTCTCTCTCTCTCTCTCTCTCTGCCTCTCTGCCTGCTTGTGATCTCTGTCAAATAAAAAAAAAAAAAAAAAAAACAACCCTCCAGAAGATAAATCTAAGACTGACATGAATCATATAAAATTGCCACTGTTTGACTAGGTTTGACATGTTAAAAAAATAGCAATTTCATGTACTTCAAAATCTCACTGTAAGTTAAGTAGCAGGGAGGATACTCACTTAGTAAGTAACTTAGCAAAGGCAAGAGCTCCACTATCAAATAGCAAGAATTTCCCTGAATTCCCAGCTTCATTAAGAACCAGGAGATGGAACCAGAAGATGGGGGAAATCAGAGGGAGAGACAAACCATGAGACTGTAGACTCTGAGAGACAAACTGAGGGTTTTGGTGGGGGCAGGGTGAGCCTGGTGGTGGGTATTAAGGAGGGCATGTATTGCATGGAGCACTGGGTGTGGTACACAAACAGTGCATTTTGGAACACTGAAAAAAATAAAATTAAAAAGAAAAAAAGAACCTCTATTTGTCCTTAATACAAAGGACTCTGGTGATGGCCCTGTGGATGCAGGTCACAGAGGTAAGTCAGAAAACTCCAAATCCAGTAAGAAACAGCTCAAGTTTGGGGCACCTACCACCACTTCCTTTGATCTGCAAGGACTGAATTTCTTCTTAAGGGTAGAAAAATCAAAACCTATTTGAAATAAAGTAAAGAAAAAAAAAAGCTGCACATCATTACACCACACCTGGGGATTCTAAAAATATAGAGCATTTACCTAAGTAGATGATGTATGTTTTTTTAGAGGCTTATATAGTTATCAATTCTCTGTAAATAACGCTTGTTGAAAAAGCTGAACTTGTAAAGGGATTTGTGTATTCCAGCCCATTTTAGACCTGGGTTCTTGAACCTCTAAGTTCTTATCCAAAAAGATGGAGCTATGGCTGCAGAAACGGGGGGAAGTAAAGAAAAATATGGCACCAGTGACATCTGACCTCTCCTCCAAAAGGGAAGTTCTAACAATCATCTATACTCTGTCAATTATTCATCTACATCCAAGTAATACAAAAGAGGAGTCTGAATTCCCTCAGCCAGCCTGGGTTCACTCTGGCCTCCTTTTCCCTAGAAAAGTGGGGCAACCGGACATAAGAGAAAGAAGTCATCAGGATAATGCCTCTGGAGTGCTGGAGACTTCTTTGTGCCCCGTCTGGCACTAAGATCGTTACAGGAATCATCTCACAACAAACAGATTAGGGAGGGAGTCTTATCTCTATTTTGGAAATGAAATTCTTGGGAGCTCAGAGAGGTTATGTGACTTTCCTAAGGTCACAGAGCTAATAAATGAAGAGCAGAGCTATGAACTTGAATCTACTGCAGTTCTGAAGTTTCTGGCCACTAAGAGCCACTACCTGACACAGGGGAGGAGTCAAAAACTCAAGCAAGGGGCACCTGGGTGACTCTGTTAAAGTGCCTGCTTTCAGCTCAGGTCATGATCTCCAAGTCCTGGGATCCAGCCTCACTCAGGGCTTCCTGCTTAGGGCAGGGAGTCGGCTTATCCCTCTCCCTCTCCCTCTCCCTCTCCCTCTCCTTCTCCCTCTGCCCCTACCCCTGCCCCCACTCATGTGCATGCTCTCTCTCTCTGTCTCTCAAATAAATAAAATCTTAAACTCAAGCAAATGTCAAAAACAATTGGGGTACATTTATATTTGCTACAGTAATAACCACAGGGTAAGTTCTTTCCCAACCAAAGGGACAGAAATATACTATCACCCAAGTACAGGGGAGAGAAGATACAACTAAAGAATAGTTATATCTTTACTACTCTTTAGGGCCCCTGGGACATGAAAATCTTGTCTGAAACCACTGATACCTTGCAGCTGTCCTCAAGAATGGTGAGTTTTAACAGAAAAGGGAATTCTCATTATGTTTTGAGAATTTTGCAACACTCTGGCCCAAAAGCATCCATGAAAACAACAACGAAAACTGGGAGGGATGCTATAGCAAATCAGTAAGACTGGAAATCACTGCCCTGAAATGAATTGAAATTGACTGAGAATAAGAAACAATATTTTCTAGGATATAAAATAATGGCTAGAAAATTAATATTATCGAGGAGAAAAATATATAAAATAGGAAGGTTAAAAGGAAACTGTTTAAAAAAAAAAAAGACAACAAAAGATATGGCAACTAAAGGAAAAGTACGGTCATCCTCACAAACCCTGATCTGCCCACCCTTAACTCCAACACCTTTGGAATGACTATGTGCCCTCTTACTGTCCTTTGACTACTTAGTGAAATACATAAAGGACAAATCTAAAAAAAAAGACAAAATAGCTCAATGAGAAGGAAACAGAGGAACCACCAAAAGAGTGAAGGGCAGAAAATATTAGTCCAAAAACAATCGTTGGACACCAAAGCCTCAACCTCCAAAGACTTCCAGTGGGGCTCTTCTTTTTTTTTTTTTTTTTTTTTTTTTTGACGGGGCTCTTCTTAAGGACACTGAACTACCTGGGGATACTAGGGAAGACCATTAGGCACGTATTGCACTGGGGGGTGTGTATAACCAAATCCTCTGCTTACACTGTCAGTTTGTGATACAAGTTCTCTCTCTTAGGGCAGCAACTGCTTCTTGAACTCTCCTGTTATACAGATATTTTCATGATAATTACATTTGTGGGAAAAGAGTTAATCTCTATTCAAAGGCTTTAGTCATGGAGGCAAATAATTCCATTGTTTCATGCAAAAAGAAGACTGTGTCCTTCAGAGTCTGGAGAGCAAGCACATGGTCCTTCCATATTCCACTTAGGCCTTTCCGCAGGAAAGCATAAAGACTTTTTGCGGGGGCCAATCACGTCAACCAGTTTCAATGTGTTTTTAACTACAGCAAAGCACAGAACACTCTTCCCCATTGCAGAAGTGATTTTTCTGTCCTCTGTGGCAGTGGAGAAAGGTCTGTGGGGCCAAAGAACTTTTTAATGATTGAGAAAAGAACACTGTTGCAGCACGTGGGTCCTCCTGAGTGAAAAGGATTATATACAGAGGACTAGGCAAAGCTGAATAGGAGAAATGACAACTGATAATTTTGTTTCAGCTCGCCTACCGTGTGGTCCCATTACCTCCACACAGCGGTGGATATCTGATAACCATGATATCTCTGGTCTTGCCATTTCACCAAATCACCCAGCTCCCACCCACAAATAAAACCAACAGGTAGTTCTTGGAATCAGGCCCTTAGTCCTCCACCAAACAAATGCCCATTAAGGTTGTATGAGCCACGTTCTGCTCTTAAAGCCAGATGCCCTAATCACATGGTTGATTAAAAGATTTTTAGTGCCATGCATGGTACAAGGATGTTTATAAAAACCTCCTGGGTTCCACAAAAATGAAATGGTCCTTGAAAAATGTGTTATGTGGCCTAACAATCATGTACTAGTCATAACAACAGAAGAAATGGATTTGATGAAATTTGAGGGAAAAAATTACCTGGCTTTTCTCTATCATGTAACTGCATTAAGATGGGACATTCCTCTTCAGTTGATTTTAAGCAGGTTGATAACTTCTGTACTGTTTTGCACAAACATGTACATTTTTAAAGTGATAAATTCTGATTTATAAACTCAAGCATGCTATTTAAGTTAAAATAACACTCAAATAATTTGTAGCCCATTTAGTTTTGATCAAGCCCCTTCTAGAGGAAGGAGAAATCCACAAACTTCACTGAAGGAATACTCCTGCAACTGAATGTTTTAGGTGTCAAATGACTTAAATGTTCCTTCTTTTAGGTTAGAAGAGACACACAGTACCTTCCTGGCCTTAAAAATAGTTAAGAGTGGCTCCAGGCTAAATTTCCAGGAGAAGTGACTGAAATAGCTACTCTCGCTACTTTCCTATGCAGAAAAAAACAATTCTAATCAGCATCAGCTGGGAATGATAAGGGGCATCTATAACCATCCCAAGGTTATGTTGACAGAACATTCAGGAGTGAAAACAATACTATATATGACAAGAGACAACTTCTGGCTTTAGTCCGTGAATCCTGAAGGAGTAAAATGGTATCTTATACCCTTTCTCATGGAGCTCTACTGCAAAAAGCACCTCACTTGGAACTGTGCTGGAAAATGACCGGTTATGATAAACAGATTATCAATTCAGTGTCCCCCTTACAGTGTACGCCTGCTTTGATGTAGTAGTACCTTGCGTTATGCAACCTGCCTTTGGGACTTCTTCACAATATCCAGAGCTGTTCTCACAAAAAGTGTAGTCATCCTTCACACTGGGAGAAAATGCCTGGCTGCAACCTTTCTTATTTGTACATATCAGAGCATAGATTTCTACTTGAAATTTACCACCTCAAGGCAAGAAAAGGGGAACTTCACTTCCAACTGCCCAGTAACCTACACGTGGCTACTCTGTGACATACAGCTTTGGATCTTTCTCTTGAACTTGATGAAACCCATGTTCTATTTGCAATGTATTAAGCCAAAGGGGAATTTAAAAGTATAGAAAAAAGAACTAGTGTAGAACATATTTTTGACTAATTGATCCAAGAACTTGGGTACAACAGATGTCAACAGCTCCTCTCAAACATTTCAAATTCACTAATTCCCTGAAACAAGCAGAAACATCCTACCTTAGGAAAACCACATCCACTATCATAAAGGAAAAAAAAAAATCCACATTTCAGTGCACATTAAAAAAAAAAAAAAAAACAGGCAGCTGCTGCAAAAGCTTTTATCTGAAGGCTTGCCTTGTCTCTACTAGGGAGTCCATCTCAGATTTAAGCACAAAACAAGAAAGTCATTGTGGAAACAATAAGATTGATTGTGGAATTGATCTCCCACGGGGATTAGATAGGGATTCGCAATCTTCCAAACCAGGCCCAGATCAACTGAAAATTAGAAAGACTTTGGGGCCCAGGCTTTGATTTTTCAATAGTATCTCTGAAAATTCTGCCCTTGGCTGTGTCTACCCTGAAACCCCAGCTTAAGCAGGAGAAGCAGACTTACAGGGCAAGGACTTCCAAACAGAGGAAAAGAGATCCCCATCTGCCCCCCTTCTTTTCATTCTTCCCCTACGAAATTCTTGCACGTTTAACTGACTAGGGGCAGCCTCTTGCCCTCATCTTCCCCATCACTTGATTTCTTTCCAGTTCCTGGAGGAGGAGTCGCTCTTCTGGCTGCAAGCCAAGAAAAGGGTGCGGATTTACCAAAGGGGAATCCCGGATTCCCGCGCCACACAGGCAGTGCGTTAAAGCCAGGTTCGGAAAGGCAAGAATGGAAACGTCTGCGGCGGCGCCCTGGCCAAGCTGCCTTTCCAGGGATGCCAACCGTCAGCCCACGGTGGGGAGCTTTTGGAGGTGGCTCTCCGCCCGCATCTCCGCCCCCACTCTCGGCTCCACGCCTCACCTTCGTGGTGGAAGCTGCGCACGGTGTTGGCGAGGCTGGCTGCCCTCTCCAGCCGGTGGTCCGGGGCGGGTGCGCCTGGCTGACCCGAGTGCCGGCGGTACAGGTCCAGCATGTAGGGGGGCACCACGGCGTCCCTGCTGGGGGTCGGTCTCCGCTTCAGGCCGAACATGCTGAGCAGCCGCAACTCGAACTCGCTCAGGACTTCCTCCGAGGGCTGGGAAGACGAGCGGCCAGTGGATGCCGCGAACTTCCTCCGGCCCAGCTCGGGAATGAGACCGGCCGCGCCGCCCAGGAGGACCTGGGGAAGCAGCAACGCTAGAAGACAGCGGGTCCCGGCCACCATGGTCGACCTGCGGACAGGACCGACGTGAGTCACCGCGTTCCCGGCCCAACCCTCTCCCCTCCCGCCCCCGCGTCCCCGGGCTCCCGCTCAGTCCGTTGCCTCCTCCTCCAGGGTGCCCACCTGGTTTGCAAAACTCGCGGAGATACTTGAAAGGGGCTGAAGCTCGAACGTTTGGGAGAACGGAAAACTCCTAGTTCCCGAGCCCGAAGGCTTTTCCCCTTCCATCTCACTCTGATCCACCTGATACGATTTGCACACACACACACACACACACACACACACACACACACACACACCCCACCAGCGTCAAGACTGTCACCTTTTATTCTGTGACACTCGCGCTGACAGCCTGTGCAGGGAACCTGAGGAAACCACCACCGCTTGGTCTGACACCTCTCGGCTCCCTAAACAAACCCAAACACATTGCCCAGCGCTCGCTTGCATATAAACACGCACGAATGGTGCATGTGACTTCCTTACAGGCACTGTATAGAACTTCCTGATACACACACACACACACACACACACACACAGTCTATAACTTCCAGATCCAGTAAACTCAAGGCCACAACTTTCGAAGCCACTTGCAACTTGTGGCCCAAGTCTCTAACCTCAGAGGTGTCAGGACAGGCCACTCCGACCCCGAACCACCCCCTCCCCCCCAAGCAGTCAAGATACACATGTATACTCCTCGAACTAGTATCTATTAATTCACGTGTCAACAGAAGATGATACTGAAGTACTGCCCCGCTCTCACTCCTGGAAACAAACACGGAGAACCCCAACTTCTAGTTTTTTCCTAAATGGGACTTGGCTCTGAGTGGAGAGCAGGTCTTCCTGAGAAACTTGAAGAAGGGAGAAAGATGACTGTGACAGGGCTTAAGGGTTGGCAACTAACGGGTGAAATCCAGGGGCCACCCTCTCGAAGGGATTTCTGTGACTTTTTTTTTTTTTAAATCATCTAAGTGTTAACAGCCCTAATAAAATACTGAAGAGAGGAAAGGGAGGAGGGGCGGAAGAGTGCGAACCAGGAGGGCTAGGCTGACGGTCGCCGGGGGCGGTCGGATGGGGGCATCCCCGCAGGGGCTCGGCTGCACGTGGACCTGGAGGGGGTCTGTTTACGTCCGGCCAGGCCCGGCCCCAAGACCGGCTAGGCGGCAGCGGCCGCCCAGGCCCCGCTCCCAACCCCCCAGTCCCAGCCCGGGGCCCACGTCCTCCACCTTTAGGAGACCGCAGACCGTCTAAGAAGCACGCGGGGACACGTCCATTGAAAGAGCCTCCACATGGAAAAAGCTCTGGTCGAAGGACCTGGTTCAGGGACCGGGTTCCCTTCCTTCGCCTCCTCCTCCACCCGGGTGCCGGCGGGGCAGTCCTTCTCCTCACGCAGGGAACGGCGTCTCGGGGTCGGGCCCAGCGGACGAGTGGAGGGACGCGGGGTCCGGAGGCGGCGAGGCTGGATCCGCTGGGGCAAAGGCACTGGCGCGAAGTGGGGAGCGCAAGCTATTCTCCCTGCAAGTTCAAGAAGTCTCCAGCCAAGTGCTGACACACAACAACGGCGAGCAGGGGGAGGAGTACGAGGCAGGGAAGAGAAGGGAGAGAGGAAAAGCTGGTGCTGTCGTTGTCCTTAGGAACCAGCGCCCGCGGGACGCGTGGCCCCGCGCGGAGCCGGCTGCGGCACTCGGGGGGCGAGGGTCGGGCGCTCCGCGCTAGCTCCGCGGCGGCCCATGGCTCGGGGCAGCCATCCTGGGAGACGCCGGGTCCGGGCAAGGGCGCAGCGGCGATCTCGGTGCCGGGCGAATTGCCCCCCCGCATCACTCTGCCTTACTCCAGCGCACCCCCATTAGCGCTCGCCAGCTGAAACCCCCGCGGCTCCGGCGCTCCGGCGTCCTCGGGCGCATTCTCCGGCGAGTCGAGCCGAGTCCCGGGCCGCCGAGGCGGGTGGCCGCGCTCTTCCCTCGCCCTTCTAGCCCCCGGGCCAAGCTGCGATGCGCTTTGTGGCCAGCCTGGGGTCCGCTCACACGTCGACCGGCGCGTCGCAGGCCCCCGCGCTCCGGCAGTAGGTGATCGGCATCGCGGCGCTCGGGCTCGGCTCCCGGCTCCCCCGCGCTCTGCGCGCCGGTGCTCGGCTCTGGCGCGGCCCGGGCAGGCGAGGCCACGGCGCAGTAGCGCGCACGGCCGGGCTCTCCAGCCCGCGCGAGGTCTGCGGCGCGCTGGTGCCTCGGAGCCCCCAGTAATCCGCGAGGCGCTCGCCGCGAAGTCGTTCGCGTCGGCGGCGGAGCCTGTGGCGGCTGATGTCCGGCGGCGGCTGCCAATCCCCGGCGGGGTGTGGGAAGCGGAGCGGCAGGCGCAGCGCAAGCCGGGCGCAGCGCGGCGGGGCGAGGACTCCGGCGGCGACGGCGGCGGCGGCGGCGCCGTGGCGCGGCGCTCGCGGCTTTTAAAGGGGACGCAGTCACCCTCTCCGCGGAGGCCGAACACCTCCCCCTCGGTGGCGCGGCTCGCCGGGGATCCCCGAGCGGGCGGGAGCGGCGCGCAGGGGTGTGGACGGCGCGCCGGGGCAGCCGCGGCGGGGTGGGGCCGAGGGCGGGGACGCGTGGCCGCCGAGGGGGGCGCTCGCGCATCCAGCCCCTGCTCTCAAAGGGAAGAGCTACTGGAGCACAGGACCCTCCCTGGGACTGCGGGGGCGAAATTCGGAACAAACACAGGGTCGAGCCTTTATTTCCCACCCGACCCGTTATTCAACTTTCAGTTTGAAGTTTTTCGGTACTAGACGATGAAAAAAAGGAGAAAAAAAAAAAAAAGACCTCAACCAAGTTACACAGCAGCGTGGCATTGGCTTGGGTAGACACTTCTGTTTCCCCAGGGTAGGAGAGTTAAAAGAAAACTAGAGATTGCAAAGTAGATGTCATTTAAACTTTACACACACAGGTTTGTGTACATACATATGTAAACGCGTGAGTACGCATTTACACTTATGTATACATTTATGTTTATGTAAATGCTCTATTCAGATAAATGTACATGTAACATACGAAAATATTCGTGTGTCTCTATCGGTAGATCTATATATGTAAATATACGCTAACGAAAGTACATTTCTATAAATATACGTCTACGTATCTACGTTTGTGACTTGGATATGGTCCCGCTCTACATGATACTCGCAACGTGGACTCCTGTGTGTGGCAGTCCGAAGAGAGGATGATTATTATTTTTTATGGTAGCCATTACTTCATGCTTTGTGATATTTATCTTGCCCCACTCGGGAGCAGGCGACTGGCAGCTCAGAGGAAGGTAAAATAATGCACAGTGTGAACCAAGCGTGCAAGACCTTAGAACCTTCTGACCCACCAAGCCCCAGTAGCAGGTAGACGACATGTGCTCAAGCCACTTGACCTCCTCAGCCAAATATTGCCCACATCTGCCGCACCATGGCATTTCGGAGGTTAAGACTTTCTGTCCCTCCCAGGGTTCCAGGACCCTTTGTGCATGACACAACCAACCAGGTTGCCCAGAAGCCCAGGGCAGAAAATTTTTGGAAAAAACCAGATCAGCAAAATCAAGTTTGTTTGCACAGAACCCCCAGCCTGCAAAGCAGAAAAAGTCTGAAGCCGGAGCTTTTAACAGCGTATTATCCATGTGTATTATTTTTTCAGTTGGGAAGCTAAAATAATTCTAGGTTCTGCTCACGTAAATCGGATTAGCAACCCACAGAGGGGAATTAGGCACTCGCTGTTTCTGAAAGTATAAAGGTCAAATAAGGTATTTTGGAGGAAGCCTACCTACTAGGAAAATAAATGGGATGGGGGAGGGGAAAATACTCAGGAGCGTGCTACTTTTTTCTCCCCTGAAAATAAAGTGCTATAGAGGCTGCTTGTCCCTCTGCAGCATTGGTTCCCTAACAAGTCGGCAACAGAACATATCCTACCCTTAAACACTTACCTTAAAAAAGTGTTTATTGTGCTTCCAAAACTATTTCCTTCCCTATCAAGTTTAACTGAGAAGTTAATAATTGTTTCTGTCATCAGGGAGATTTAGAAGACAAAACAATGAAACCTAAATCAGTATGTAGCTTTTAAAGAGGAGGAGAAAGATGATAGCTGTTGGATGCTCCTTGAGTAAAGATGAAAACTAAATCTCTGGCGATGACATCAAGGTTGCCTTGCAGCTTGAGGCCTCCATAACTTGCGAAACGGAAACTTTGTCGGTGTCTGAAATAATCTCCGACAGAAAATGGACACTTCTAGGCTCTCCATTCCATCTCAGTGTTGCCCATCACAGGATTTCTTTCATGTATGATGTAAGATTTCTGAAGGACTGCTGAATGCCTGTCCCAAGCACAACTTCCTCAATTTTGGCCCTATTTGTGGAAGAGTCCTGCTCTCAGGTTGTTTTTTAGAGATGGCTGCCCTCTTGTGGTGGAAATGAATTCCAACTCTTGGTAGAAAAAAAGTCCCTAAATAAATAAGTAAATAAGTAAGTAAATAAATAAATAATCTCCACAGGCTGAATTGGGGTACATACTAGAGGGTGATCATACCTGCTCACTTTCCAAGCAACAGAAATAATTAGAAACTATAACTATAAATGGAGATGACCTATCTCTCTTTTTACTCTCTGCTAATAGCCACCTTCCACCTGCAACTCAGAATGCAAGTTTATTACTTTAGGTGTCAGTGTCGTTGAGCTTTGAACATATCACTTACTGCCAACTGTGGCCAGCCTTACTTTTTCAAAGGTTTATTACAAGTTTTTCAGCCCATAAGGTGAGATTCATTCTTTGTGGGCAAATCAAATTTGGTGTTATCTGCCAGATGTGAGGAGTGGCCAGAGTGGGGGTGTGGAGTTTGGGGGAAGGGTTGATGGTAGTTGCTAGAGGACAAAAGCAAATGATGTTTAAAAAAAAAAAAAGAAAAAAGAAAAGAAAAACATACTCTGTAAGGACTCTGTATGAAAGAGGGTGTTGCTATTCCCTTCCAGTCATTTCTTGCCAGTTTGTTTTTTTTTTAATTTGACAGACAGAGATCACAAGTAGGCAGAGAAGCAGGCAGAGAGAGGGGGCAGGAAGTAGGCTCCCCACTGAGCAGAGAGCCTGATGTGGGGCTCGATCCCAGGACCCTAGGATCATGACCTGAGCTGAAGGCAGAGGCTTTAAACCACTGAGCCACCCAGGTGCCCCTCTTGCCATTTTTTTAAAGAGATACCAGAAATCCACATTTGATTATATGTGGACATGACCTAAGATGAAATTAAGTGCTTAAACAGTCATACTTTGGCAACTTTTCCTTTAGCCATTCAACCCAGATAATGTTTAATTTTATTGCATCCTGCAGCTATTAGCATTCACCATCATTCTTGCTAGGTCAACCATTATGCAAATTAACATTAAAATAATGATCCTTACTATTGTAAAGGTCACAGCAGGCATTAAATGATCCATCTACCTTGTAATTGTCATTCCACTGAAACCTGTGGCAACTCCCCTGAGAAACCTCTTGGCTTTTTAGCATACTATCACTTTGTTAATAGTGTGACACCCAACACCAATACTTACTTCACAGGGCCCAGCAGCCACAGCAAAAGAGCAGCATCTCGTCAATCAAACTTTGACCTGTTTGGTGTGTGGTTAGATATGGTAGAAAGGATCAGAAGGTGGAGTGATTTATTTGCAAAACTAGGCTTAGTTTTGCAAATAAAAATGAGGGTAGAATGAGCTTTGTGAATTGACTAGATTGTATTTTAGGATGCACACAGTAGGTATTCTATCAACAAGTTGGTGACAACCCAAGACCTAATCGGGTGACTTAGATTCTTGTTCTGTTTCAGTTGTGCATGGCTGAATTTAAAAGGTCAGCTCTTGGGGCATCTGGGTGGCCCAGTCAGTTAAGCATTCAACTCTTGATTTCAGCTCAGGTCATGATCCTGGGGTTGTGAGATGGAGCCCTGTGTAGGGCTCCACTGGGCTTGCAGCCTGTTTAAATTCTCTCCCTTGGGGCTCTCTCTCTCTTTCTCCCTCCCTCCCTCCCTCCCTCTCTCCCCTCTCTCAAAAATAAATCAATTAATTAAAAAAATAAAATGGTCATCTCTTGGGCTCATATGTTGATCAGGGTAAAAGAAAAAAATGTATATATATATATATATATATATATATATATATATACACACACATACATATTCTGCCTACCTCAGACTGCATGATGAAGGTCAAATGCATAAAATATGTGTGGAATTGGAGAATTTAAAAATGCCATACAAACAGAAGATCCTGATTGCTACTCTATATA